GTGTTGAAATCATCTCCATTGCACCACAAGTTGGCCATCTCTGCTTGATACCATCCAACTCTGTCCACGTCTGCCCCCTGAGAGCATCATTATTAGCACCATAAATTGAAGAGATCATAAAAGTGAAATTGTCAGGTACATACTGAATAATAGGGAAATGGTAAAAGTTAAAAGACCAAGATCCATATCATGAATTGGACTTTGTGAGTCCCAAATGATGATCATTCCCGTTCAGTATTGACTGATGACAGGAAAATCCAAGCACTGGCCCTAGTACCTGTATGTTCGTGTTAATTTGAAGATCAATGGACTGCATCATTGTTTCTTGGAACATCAATATGTTCAGGTCCTCCAGGACTCACTTCTTCAAGGCACTTGTCACTACACTTCTCCTATCTGACCCCAAACTTATGGTGTTATCATCCATGATATGACTTTAAGTTTGTTCTTTTTTCCTGCAATTGTCATGCCTCCCACTCCATTCTTTCAGCTACTTACTTGGCATGTTGCCAGTATTCTCATTTAAGTCCCATGCTAGCCCACAGATCCTTTGCTTGTTTCCTACCTTTCCATTCTTTTTCCATTAATGCCCTCTGTTTAATAGCAACTAGGAGAGCCTTTGTTTCCTCCTCCAGGCCCTTGAAAGAAACTTCCAAAAACTCTAAAGTTTCAAGAGGACCCACATAGGGACCTCAGTCTCTCTATCAAGAGTATGCTAAACCGTAGCGGCAAGATTGATTTTACTGTTGCTTCCATGCAGTTTACCCGCCTCTTTGTTTTTATCACTGCTAAAGGGGTAATTTCCTCTATTGCTTCCTCATCTAGTATTTCTAGTGTCATTCGATACAATCACCAGTTCCCAGCCTCCCTGAATTTGTACCACCTCACCATGCCCTTTCTGCTGTGTTGTCAATGCTTGACTTCCTTCCCTATCACCATTGGTCCCGATATGAGCATCAACAGTCCCTTATATCTTTTCAGTCCCATTAACATCCTCTTTGGATAATTCCTGTTTTTGTTTCCTTGCCTGTTCCTTTGAACATGAGCCTTTGCCAATGTCATGGTATCCTTCTTGGGCATGTGCTCTACAATGTTGAAGATGAGGAATGAGTCTTCTCGGCCCACTACCATCTCTTTACCTTTATCTGGGTAAGACTGGTTGAGCAGCTTTTTGGGTTGTCTTGGTTCTTTTATTAGAACTGGTTCGCTTGGCCTTGGTCTATCCAATTCGTGTTTTATTCTTGCTGATTAAAACTCAAAGGTAAGAAACTCTCAACACTTCATTTTTGGCTCTAGATGAGCCTCTTGTTTATTGTAATATGTGTTTTTTTTTTTTTTTTTTTTCTTCTTTCTTTTTGCTAATTTTACACTTCAAAGCTTTGTATGTGCCCTTGTGTCTGAGTAGGCCAGTGGTAGATGGGATTCAATGGGAGAGAATTCCTCTAAATGTAAGTTCAAGAAATGGAGGAACCTTTCCAATAGAGGAGATAAAGAGCATCGTAATGGGGATGAGTGGGGATAAGATGCCAGGCCTTGATGGTTTCACCATGGCTTTCTATCCTAAGTGTTGGGAGATGATAAAAGATGATTTAAAGAAAGTCTTTGATGAGTTGTCCAACAGTGTTACTCCAATATTCTGCTACTGTATTGGGCTAGATCTGGAAGAGTTTTGATCTCTTCTTTGAACTGTAACTGGTTACAGTTACCATATCTGGACAAGGCTGCAGTGTTTGGTCTCCTTGGTGGTGCTGTTTGTCTTTATAATATTTGTTCCCATCCAGAAAAATCTTGGAAGTTATAATATTTGTTCCCACAGGTTTCTGGAAGGTGTTTGGTCCTGCCTGGAAGGTGTTTGCTAAAATTCCTCCTTGAAGTTCAGGTTGACTTCTTGGTGATTTACTCTGGTTGTAGGGTAAGCCTTGGAAGTGTTTTTCTACTGCTACTTCTCTTTTACTTGTTTAATCTAGTACTGAAATGGCCTTGGAGACGACTGATCTTCCTACCTATCAAGTTTGATGGTACCAACTATGCATTATGGAAGTTTCACTTCCAATTTCATGTTGAAGGCAAGGGATTATGGGGTTATTTAGATGTGCCTGTTTCTAAACCTGATGAATCTGATAAGAAGGCCTTTCAGCAATGGAAAAAGGATAATGCCAAGATTGCATCTTGGATTCTTGGGTCGATTGAGGTGGATTTTGTTATTCCTATGCATGGGTATCGGATTGCATATGAAATGTTTCAATATCTTGAAAAGGTTTATCAACAATCAAATCTCTCTAGGCAATACGAAATTGAAACTAATATATTTTCCTATCATCAAGGGGAGAAAAAGATTCAGGAGTATTAATGTATTATGCAGGGTTTGTTAATTTTTTGACTGAATGTGAGTTGGTACATTTGGGTGAGGACCCTTCGGATTGTTGTGTAAAGTTTATGAAGAAACACTTTGACAAAAGAAAAGTAATGCATTTTCTTATGCATCTTAGACCAGAATATCAAGTTGTGAGGTCTAATATCCTTAGTAGAGGTACCACACCAGATCTGGATACTATTCTCGGTGAACTTCTGATGGAGGAAACAAGGCTGGTTACACATTCTATGCTTGATGGGAGGAAGGAACCCAACTTTGATGCTGTTTTTCTTGCTGCTATACCTAAAAGCAAGAAAGACTTCTCCCGTGTTCAGTGTTACGAGTGTAAGGAGTTTGGGCATGTTATTTCGCACTGTAAGGAGGAGGAGGAGAGTTGTACGGGTGTATCTAAGCCACAGCCCACACCCAGAAACTGATATTTTATTTATATAAAATACATAAAAGGGCAAATCTGTCCTCAAGATATGGCATTCTATCATGAATGTTAGGAGATAATGAAAGATGATTTGAAGAAATTTTTTATGAGTTCCACAGAAGGGAAAAAGTGCAAAAGGTTATGAATGCAACTTCTGTGTCACACATTCCAAAATGTGTGAATGCTGCTTGCACTAATGATTTTAGATCCATAAGTCTAACCACAATCTTTATGAAATAATTGCCAAGGTACTTTTTGTTTGGAAGAGGGTGCCATTAGAAGCAGTTCGAATAAGTTAAAAACAGATTCAAAAGGGTGTGTCTAAAGTCATATATATATATAATGATTAAAAAAAGGTGTGAAAGGACAATAGTGTCTCTCACAAACAAATAACAAAGAGCTGTACAAGTATGTTACAATATATTGCAGTGTACAATACAACAGTGCTCCCAAGGAAATAAAAAGGAAAATCAGCTCCAATCCTTTACATCTCTATACTCCCCCTCAAACTGATGCCATTATGTAAGCATCAATTTGTCAACTAGGAAGGTATGTCTTGCGTGTGTCATGGCTTTTGTAAAGAGATCTGCTAGCTGTAACCCTGAAGAGACATAACAGAAAGAAGTTTAACCAGCAAGAAACTGATCTCTAATGTAGTGGCTATAAGCTTCAATATGCTTGGTGCACTCATGGAACACTGGATTAGTTGCAATCTTTATTGCATTCATATTATCTGCAAATAGGGGAACCAGGAATGAGTGGTTAACTCCCAAGTCCATAAGAAGAGCTTTGAGCCAAATGATTTTCACTACAAACAAACAACATAGCACAACATTCAGCCTTGGAGATACTTTGTTGCTTCTTGCACTTCCAGGAGATTAAGAATCACCAAAGAAAATACACCAACTAGTGATAGAACACCTGGTATCAGGACACCCTACCCAATTAACATCGGCATAAGCCGAAAGTTGAGCTGAGGTTGAAGAAGGAAACAACAAACCATATGATAAAGTGCCATGAATGTAGCGAATAATCTGCAATACTGCTGATAGATTAGGCTACGGAGGTGATAAGACAAACTGACTGATAAATTGGAAAGCATAAGAGATGTCAGGCCATGTCATAGTAAGATATATTAAGCTGCTCGCAAGCTGTTTGTATAGAGAGGCATCAAGCAATAAAGGTCCATCTTCCTTGCATAATTTTAATTTGAGTTTAAGTGGAGTGTCAACCTCCTTGGAATCAATTAAATTAACAAGCTTGACAAGATCAGTGGCATACTTGTGTTGAATTATTGTTGACTAACAAAATAGCCATGAGAATGATGTGAGACTTCTAGTCCTAGGAAATAAGTTAACTTGTCAAGATCTTTCATCCAAATGTTTGGACTAAGGTGATGCTTAAAAGAGTGAATACCATCTTGATCATCACCATTGATGATAATGTCATTAACATACAAAAGAAATATAATAATGCCTTGAGGTTATCCAAGAGTGAATAGAGAGTAAGTTGAGGAGCTCCGGGTGAATCCTGCTTCAAGAATGACACTATGAAACCTCTCAAACCAAGCTTGAGGAGCTTTTTTAAGGCCATATGAAAACTTCTTAAAATTGCATACTAAGTGGGGATCAGAGGGATTACCAAGAGGTGTTTTTTTTGAAGAACAAAGAAAGTTAATTGAAATAAAATGAAAAAGTACAGCAAGAGGTGATAAGATATCACCAAAAACATCTTAGCAACCCCTTCAAACCCACAAAAGCCTAAGATGACCAGAGCTAACACCCATGAAAAGCCCAATCAAAACCTAGAGAAAGATCACAATAACAAGCCCGGTACAAGTCCCAATACGACTAAGGTAACCACCCGACACAAAACCATAGTTACAAGCCTTTCCTGAGGCACACCTCAGTCTTCATCTGTAAGCGCACCATCTTGGGTTGAGTAATCCTCATCCCAAACCTTGCTCCCCTGAGTATAAGCATTGTTTTTCTCTTTTTCTTCTTTCAAATTTCTCTAAGGCCTTCCTGGAAAATTCCTTGCCACCCCAGAAAAACAGGCCCGAGCTTTTCCCAACCATAACCTCTCTATCGACTAATTTTTGTAAAGTGACATCACTTGGTTTATCCTTTTGTATCCCAGAAAGTAGAATTAATTGCAACCAATGATAATATTATTGATGTGATAATTGACAGATGTCATTTACTTGTGCAGATGAGTCGTATTTTTGGTGTTGATGATAGATTTTATGAGGATGCAATCCTTGGAAAGATTGAAGGCATGAAAGAAGTGATTGAACAAGTAAATAAGCAATTTAAGGACCCGGTAAGATGCAATTCTCCATCCCCCTACCCTCAAAGGAAACAATTCACATTCAATTAGTGCAATACTTCTGTTTATCATTTTTTAATAACAGTAGATTACCTGTCAAAAGCTAAAAAAAATGAGAGCAAGTAGCTCTTGAAGTTTATCCATCAGCTAATTAAAATACCATGTTCAGTGAATTGCTTATTCCATGCAAGATTCTATCCAATGCAATTATTTTTATTATTGTGTGCAGTTCTGCAAATGGAAATTCCGGCAGTGGTTTCTCTTTATTTTATCACCCTAAAGGTGTCTGTCTCTGGTGACAATAAGTTCTTGGTTTAACATTACAGGATTGTCCAAACTTTAACAGGTTTCAGGCTGTAAACCTGGCTGCTGTTTGGATACGTTCCTGTGTGAATTGTTCTTAAGCTTTTTAGCTGAAGTTTACTGAATATGGAAAAAAATGGCATGGAAAAGGTTTCTGAAACAGCTCCCATCTTGAAGTGATTGGATTTGTTTTTCAGTGGAACAATCATTTTGAAATTGAGCTTTATCAGTTTAAAGCTTAAGCATCTTAATTGATGTTTAACTTTTGAAGCTAAACTCATAAACTGGAAGTTTCTTAGGCTCCATCACATTTATGATTAAATGTATCACTCTTCATGAGTTGTTAATATTTGTAAAATCTCAAAAATTAATTCATATTACAATCCAACAGCTTTCATTATGTCTATCATTGTACCTATATGATTTACCTGTCTTCATTTTGGTAATTAATCCATATCTTTATGATGCTTTTAAAAATCTTTCTTGGTCTGACCATAATTGTTTTCTGTGTCTAGGACATGACAACTTTTGTCTGTGTTTGCATCCCAGAGTTCCTCTCTCTTTATGAAACAGAGAGGTTGGTGCAAGAACTAACAAAGTTTGAGATTGACACGCATAATATCATCATTAACCAAGTACTTTTTGATGAAGAAGGTGCATTTTCCATCATCTTCCAAATCCACACATGGGTGGCCTAATGTGCAGTATCCATCTTTTGTATCTTTTCTCACCTCCATTAACCTGTTAATGAACTTTTCTTTCATTTTTCCTTTCTTTAGCTGTTGAATCCAAGTTGTTAAAAGCTCGTATGAGGATGCAGCAAAAATACCTTGATCAGTTCTACATGTTGTATGATGATTTCCACATCACTAAGTTGCCGTTGCTTCCACAAGAGGTGCACCCAAGTTCTATAGAAAATCCTCTCTGCTCCTTGGTTTCCACCCTGGATTGACAACTTGTGTTTTCCAGGTATGTGGCGTTGAAGCTCTGAAATCATTTTCTCGCAACTTTTTAACCCCTTATCAGCCATCCATCAAGAAAGGCACAGTAGAAGAACTGGAGCAAAGAGTGTCCATACTACAGGAACAGCTGAAAGATGCTGAGGAAGAGCTAGGTAGATTGAGAGAAGGAAAGTAAAGGTCTGATACCACGTAGTGGCTAGAATTCTAAGGTCCAAGAGAACTTGGAGAAGGAAAGCAAGAGGTCTGGTCCTACTTCAACTACCCAATTACCAATACTGCCTTTGGCTATTTATTTTCCTGCATTTTATATTTCTCTTGTTTGCAGACCAGTAGTTTGCTCTGCTTGCATCTGGCTGCTAATTGAAGTCATATTTTTTCTTCTGCTCTCCGGTCTAAGTTATCTCCTACATGTCATCAGATTTTTGTTTTGGAATTGGAGGCAGAAGTGATCTATAAATTAAATTTGAGTTTGTTTTAATATCACTCGGAGGATTTATTGTTGGAATTCATGCATTATATTCATCAACAATATGTGCTTTCTGAATCTTTGTGATATTTACGAGGTAAACGTGTAGTCTGTAGTCATAACACATAATACAGATGTAGGACATGTAATTGGAGGGATTCATCAATACCTCAATATATTATTATTAAATTTTAAAATGTGAAGGGAAAATATGTTCAGAAGGCTGAGTTTGAGAAAAGTACAAATACAACTTTGTATAGTGCAAATACAAGGTTTAGAAATACAAAATACAAGGTTTTGCACTATACGTATTTGTGTTTGTACTCTTCCCAAACTGAGCCGAAGTAACATTACAAACAACAAATTAATTATGTTGTCTGTGTTCCTGCAGCCTATTTTGTTGAAACAGATTGGCAAAAAAAAGATAGGATTTGAAATGAGTATATTCACAGGAATTTATAAGTAGCCCTTGTTGGTGAGAAATATGGAAATGCATGCTAAAATGGATTGTGTATATGCATGGAAGACCACGTTTTGCGCCAATAAGCTAGGGATAGGCCAAAAAAGGATGCTTGGTGGAGATGGAGAGGTAGTGAGAAATGGTTTGAGGGCTCCCAATGTAACAATAGTTCATATATGTATACACTAAGTTTGTGCCTTTACATTTAGTCGAGTCATGCAAACTTGAGTCTTATAATCATCCACACGCTTGTGCCTCTTGATTTTAGTTGAGTCATACAAAGCTTGACAAAGACCAGTGGCTGACTAATGGCGGGCTCATGAGCTGCATTGCTGCTGGTGCTCATCGATCTGAACCCAGATTTATCCACCCCACAATTTTTATATGGGTTGGGCTTGGATTTTCAATCTTTGGGATGAGTCTGATCTATGCATCTATAGATATATTTGTAAGTATGCATATATGCATACTTTTTTGGCAAACCATACGTGTTATATACATACAGATACATATACATATACATCTATATCAAATTTTAGTGTGGGCTGATTGATCAATCTGAGCCTAAGGCCCTAAGCCACTCAAGCATATAAAATGCAGGCTGAGCCCATATTTGACACTCTGGGCTTCACCTCAGACTTAGGCCTTAGGTCCAACTTTTAAGGTTGTGCCCAAGTTGAATTTAAACCCAATCCAACCCACCAGACTTGTGCCCCTACTCGATCCCAGAATTGTTCATCTAACCTTTTCAGGCTTGATGCCTATGTACCAACGCCAGATTTCCAGCAGCTACCATGACCTAGTTGCAGCAATATCTTCAATGGAATTGATGGTATTTGCTTTTGTGGTTGCATTCTTTTTCTTTTTCTTTATATATATATATATATATATATATATATATCTTGTGAAGGGCTACACAAGGGGATAGCCCATCCCCAACCCATAACCCCCCAACCCAGGTGCAGGGGGGATTCCATTCCAATCAGTTGAAAATCTTACCAACCAGCTGATTGGCACTTTGTTTTGTGGTGGCATTTTCATGATTGATTACATATGCACAATTAAAAGGGGAGGAGGGCCGACTTACATTAATCTGGTACATCTGGTACATTGCATTCGGCGTGCTTTTTTTTATGAGAATATAACTTTTCATTCCTTCAGCGTGCTTTTTTTTTATGAGAATAAAACTTACCGGTTACAAAGGCTTTGGAAGTAACTAGAAAGCTTTATTTTACAATTTTTTAAGATACCCAAATGCTTTATGTCTCTTCAATCATCATCATCATCATTAAGCCTTATGGCCCTTATCCCAATTATATGCTATTACATAAATCCAGATTAGCTATGTGAAACCACATTGTCTAGGTTTGGAGAGAGTTTCATAACAATTGATTGTAAATAAATTTGTAATTTATGGTTATAATAAAAATTCCAAATATCTATATCAGGTGTCATATCAAATAATTCAAATACAAATATAGATATAGGCAGAGCTTTATAAATATATAAATACATTGCCTATCACACGTATTGTATTGATATTTTAATCCTTGATTATAATCTTATTTTTTGTACATAAAACCGAATTCATTCTTATTCCATATAATTGAGACACAGCTTAGATGATGATGATGGTCGTATACAGCATCAGCCATCCAAAAGGGAAAAAAACATACAGTAATACAAAAAAAAGGAGATAGGATTTTCTGAAAGCAAAAACCATACAAGTTCCATGAAGGCACTGTGTTCAGTCATATATAGAAAACATTTTCTCATGAATTTAACATACATGTATGGGAGATATTCTTGATGCATGGCTAGATGTCATGCTTTAAGAGTAGTGTTTTATGCTTATATAGTTTTTACTTTATGGAGATTTGGGCTAAAACTAAAAAAAAAAATGATTGTCAACTAATTCAGGTGCACCTGACCACCTGTTTGATGGCAGGCTCTCTATGGTAAGTTCAGGTCAGTTTTTAGTTTTGGATTGATACCTCCCCTGAAGTTTCTGGTTGTTGTTGAAACCTCCCCTAAAGTTTGGTAATTGCAATCATCTCCCCTAAACTTTCTGACATAGTTGCAAGTAGGCCTCTTCAGGTAGAATTTTCTTAAAAAAAATGTATTAAAATCTCTTCATATGAATCACTACCAAATACCCTTCCAATCTCTGTTCTGAAATTGATTTATTTTTTAAATTTTCCCTTCATATCAATCACTCAAAGGCAAAGCTGCAACTTTAAATTCTCTTTGTTTCTGTTGTTTTCTTTTTTCCATAAAAACTAGCCTTAATAGTACCAGCATAGGTATTTTGGACATTTTCATGCCCTCTTTTAAAAGATTCTAGAAAGGGGGGTCTACTTGCAATTGTATTAAAAAGTTTAAGAGAGGTGATTACAATTACTAAACTTCAGGAGAGATTTCAACAATGGTGAGAAACTTTATGGGAGGTTTTATCAAATTTCCCTTTAGTTTTTATTTTCTTCAGAGTTTCCAATGTATAATAGCAAATGTTGCACATTCCACTCTCTATGTGGTTAAATCCTTTCTAGACAGTATTTGGGTGCAAAAGTTACACAGGTATCATAACTTTAACTGGCGTAGCAAGATGTATCCTTGCATTTAAAAAAAAAACTTTCATTGTGTGTGCTACCCACTGCAAGAAGTTTAACTAATAATAAATAGAAATGTTGTTACACAATGCTGGTTCCAGTTAATTACTTATAAAAAATGTTGGTCTCGGTTATCTAGGTCCTTGGATGGGTGCACTGCATACAGACCCTAAACCTTGAACAGAGTTTTAATTGGATTGCAGTGAAAATCAAAATATCTTACGCCTTCTAAAAATTCTCTCAAGAATATTGTCTGCATTACCTCCCTCTTCAGTCTTGATGGGGGAGGAGATAAATGGCAACTAGTTTTGAGTTTTGCTCATAGAATGAGACGCCCTATCAGCATCATCATCATATAAATCTTGTGCCAATTATGTGGAGTCGGTTACCTTAATCTTGTATACAAAAAACTGTGTACAAATACTTTCCATGGATGATAGATGTAGATTTGAATTTTGGTAGTAATACAAAACAAAGAAAATAAATGTTGTTTTCTTTGACCCAATAGTTTGTGGGTCTGGGTCCTCCATTTCAGCTTACAACCTCAAACAGCCGTTTGATAGCAGCAGAATGAAATGGTTTATTGTTTTGTCTTTTAGTAAGTTGCTAAAGAGGTTGTAACTCCTAGATGAAATTGAAATTGGGCTCATTACTATACACAAACATCTAATTTATTAAAAAACAAAGTAATGTGCGATTCAGCTCAGCTATTGTAACCATTACCAAATGAACCCTGGTTACAAGTATTTGCAGAAAACCCGTAAAAAAAGGAAAAAAAAAACTGTCTGTGAGGAGGAGGAGAAACAACAGAGAAGAAAAGAAAACAATGAATAAAGTAGAGATGAAACAGAATTTACAGATTACATACATCTCTCCGGCTCTCCCTAATTAAGCAGCGGTGTTGTTGTGATCATGGAGCATGGAGTCAGACTCTCACCACCTTGGGTCTGAATCTCCACAAGACATCTCAGAGGTCTGATTCTTCTTGGCACACGGCCCATGTGGGTCGACTGCGTCTTCGTATATGGTATCAAGCTTTCTTCCCGACGAGGTCACCCTAGTAATGGTGATCATCATAGGTGGTGCTTTCTCCGTCACCATCACCGTCTGATGCTTCAACCTCCCGGCGGCCACTGCTTTCCCCATCACTTTGATGCGCTTCACTTCACCTTACTCCTCTTTGGATAACCACAGAAAGTAAACTCAAGACACTGAACTAACGCAATCAAGAGTTCAAGACTCGAGAGGAAGAGGCGTCATATCTCATATGTATGGGACCTATGGTATGGATAAGGGGAGAAAAGAGAGAGAAGGTACGGTAGGACCCACTTCAGTTCGACTCTTGACTCTTGACTGTTAAGAGTATTATTGTGTCGCTCTGGCTGTTAGTGTAGGTGGGCAACCAGTCTGATGGGTGGTGGCGTCAACCTTATCCAGATGATCAGAGTGGGAAGGACATGGAGTCTTGACTGTATAAGAAAACAATTCTATTCATTTTGTTATGTTTAGTAGAGTGATTTGGGCACAATATTCCATTCTTATAAAGCCCCAGTATATCCACAATCATAATTACAAACAATGAGTCAGTAGTTTGAGATGATCACCAGAATCAAACCCACAAAAGACAGAACTGCAGGCTCTTCATATGGGTAGTAGGCCTCATTCTTCACGTTGTGGACCCGCTTGACGTGTTAGCTAAATCCGTTTCTGTCCTTTTGTTTTTTTTTTTTTGTTTTTTGCCCTTTGGCTTTGTGGGTGAAGTGAATCAAACCAAATTGAATTGTGTTTGTGTCCGTTGGAGTGGTCAGAATTCAAAAATGTCCTGCTTGAGCTTTCTAAAGTTGGAGCATGAAATTTGGAGGAAGCTAAAATATCTTACATCCCCATCATCGGTCACTGCATCAGCTACTGGAATAAAGAAGTTTTGATCTTTGTTATTCTTTATCTTCAATTTTAGTTGTTCTTGCTTTTTAACATTAACATACTTAATGCTTGACCGCCTTAATCTA